CAGCTGAAGCCGCCTGGAGAGCGTTGCCGTAGTGTCCGCCCTGGGCATTGACGTCGGCCTTGTTGTCGAGCAGAATCTGTACGATTTCCCGGTATCCTCTATTTGAAGCAGCCTGGAGAGCATTGCCGTAGTGTCTGCCCTGGGCATTTACGGCAGCGTTGGCTGCGAGTAATGTATCAGTTATCTCGAGATGGCCGCTTTGTGCTGCTGCCTGTAGCGCCGTGCATTGATAGCGTCCCGCTGGCCCAGCATTGACGTCAGCCTTGGCTGCTAGCAGTCTGTCGACTATTTCGAGATGGCCCCGTTCTGCTGCTTTTTGTAGGATAGTCCATCCATCAGAGCTTCTAGTATTGACGTCGGCTTTGACTGCGAGCAGTCTGTCGACTATTCCAAGATGGCCCCCTTCTACTGCTTCCTGGAAAGCTCGGTTTTTGATATCATCGAACTGCTGGTTTTGCATACTACGCAAGAAAATATCGAGAATTTCGACATTGTTGTCCTTCGTTGAGATTTCCAGCATATGGCTCTTCTGGGATGCTGTAAGATCATAATGCGAGATAAGAAGACGAATTATCCCATAATGGCTGCAGTTATAAGACCAATGCAGGACATCATCCTTATTGTCAGGCAATCTGCCATGCCATGGTATTTGTGCAAGGGGATGCCCATGGGTCACCATATTCTTCCATAATACCCAAGTCGTTGATGTTGCTTCCTGGAAAGATGCCGAATGCATGATCCAGTAAGCCGATGCGTATTTCAAGAAAGGATTCGTTACCTCTAGAATGACAGAACTCGATGTTGAGTCCCGGGCAAAACCTGCGATCGAAGGCGTCAGGTCAAACCTTTGCGCTCGTGGTCTTGACTTTAAGGTCGACACTAATGCGGCACGTTTTGATCCAGGTTTCAAAGCTATCGGAAGTATCTGGGATGTGTTGATAACCACAGCTTTCGGCCTTTTCGCGATGGTGGTTTTGAAGTCATTGAAGTTGAGGTATGTAACACATATCTCGCCAAGCATATGGTCAGCTTCGTTGATTGTGATATGGAAGTCCTTAAGTATTGATGCAGCGGACTTATCCAATAAAAACATCTTCACTGCTAGATGTGTGAACTGGACGAGTTGGGTTTCTTCATCGATAAAAACCAAGTTTTGACACCATGATGCTATCTTTTCCATATCATTGAAACGACGATCAAGAATTGTGAATCGCTGGCCCACTTCGATCGCGGTTGCCTCCCGGAGTTCATCGAGAGATAGGGGTCTTTTGGACGCAGCAACCCAATGAAAGACTTTGCGTGCTGCAGGGCCATGATGTCCATCCTCGATGCGACGAAGTGCTCGTTGGAATGTCTCAGCAAGACCCTTCGGAAGATCGTTTAGGGCATGTCGAATATCCTCGTCGCAATGAAGCGAGAATATAGTCTCAAGCTGGAAGAAAACCCAAAGGAACCTATTGATATTTTTAGATTTAACTTTCAATTGCAATAGGCAGTGGGACTCACATTCCATTAGCACCTTGAATAAGCCTACTCTTGATATCACCAAGAAGCGAGTGATCTCCAATTTTGAAGTCTCCTTCTTCGAGCTTCTCATCTAATATTCCTTCAACATAGTTTGAAATATCGTTTTCAATAGCTTCGCAATCTAGCGTAAGTTGTTCGAAATTCGTGAAATGTTTCTTGATCTCATCTCGAAGACTTAAGCGACTTGCAAGAAATATATGAATATTCCTGTCGAGATAGCAAAGGACTGAGAAGGCTTTTAGGAGCTCTTTTCGATCTTTATCGCACTCATCAAGTCCATCTATAAAGATGAATGACTTTTGTGGCGATCGCATATGTTGAACAAATAAATCAGATATGTCGGACCATGCTGGTGCTGATCTGCCTTGCATCGTTGGTGGGAGCTCTATACCCTCAAGCCTTTGGCGCAAAAGAGATCTGAGAATACTACTAGCGCCTACAGATTCGTCGTCATCAGATTGTACAAAAAAAAAAGAGACTGGGCCAATGGAGCTTTTCTGGTCTCCTTTGAGTCTTAGAATATGCTGGATCGCACTTGCACTATTCCTCTATCAATCACAAGTCCATGTTTGAGATATCAAAAATACTTACGTTATAACAGTTTTGCCAGAGCCAACTATTGATAATTAGAAAATCAAGCTGGATTCTATGGATTACCACAAAGCTTACTTTTGCCTGAACACCAGAGAATTGAACTTTCCCCGTTAAGCCAACGTTGAAATTGCGGCGTCTCGAATACCCAGTTTGCTGTATTCCCATATCGTTTCTGGCTGCTTTGTTTGAATGGTCTCATATAGTCATAGGTGGAAAGGGAGTTCAGGTATCGTGCCTTTTCTTTGCCTGATCTTGGATTAATGGCTATTTTACAGATTGAAGGATAACTTACGTGATTGCTGTTCGATTTGCCTAGATTGTAGCTTATCTAGATTGTGGTCCGTTCGCGAAACAAATAAGCCCATAAAGGACCTATTTTTGGCTGCTTTACTTCGCTCCCTCACTTGGTCCTGCTGATGTCGTGAATCGGCTTGGGCCTTGGCAAGTGAGATCTCATCATTTACAAAACTGCTGAGCCTTTCGATATCCTCCAAATCTGGCTTGAATTCTTGGTCAAAAGACATCCGAAGCGCTTTTACCAATTGAGTTTGCCCTTGCTGCTTTAGAAACATACCCTAGGCTCAAAAATACAGATACTTACATGGACGTTGCATAGTCTCTACCAAATGTTTGCAGCAACGAATAATCGATGCGTAAAAGTTATGAATCGATGTTTGAAGCCTGGTGGATTTGGGGAATAAGGCTTGGTATTCGGATATCAGCGGACATTGCCTGCCTAGCTTCATGAATAGTTCGGAAGTTGCATCGTAATACGACACGAAGTTCATAGTAATCTGTATATAGTAATGTTATTGCCATTGCATTCGTCGAAACCAAGATTAATGTTAGAACATACCATGATCGCTAACTTGATGCTACCCCATACCAAGGCAGCAATATCTGGGTGCGCAGAGACGCATGTGTCTACGATAGCGCAGAAATGCCCAACTGATAACAAAAGCGAGTAGAGTCGGCTGGAGAAGCTTCTGCCTTTGCCTTTTCCCGTTCTTTGAGTATAGTCGAGCTGGGCGGTGAATAACATAATATCGTCCACCTTAGGAACATCACATACGTCCTGCAATTTTTTGCGCTGGTCATCATTCAAGACACCCCGGAACGTGGCGAGAGCATCTTGTAGGTTTTGTTGCGCAGCTCGAGGGCGTGACGGCAAAGACAGGCTTGTAGCCATTACTGGGGAACAGTACCAAACAGAATCGGCAGGCTGCGGCAGCAAAAGAGTTTTCGGTCATTAGGACGGATCGTAATATCTACGGCTAAGCCGGACTCTGTTTAGTATAATGTCAGGTTTACCTGGAGATGTTTTTGCGGAGTTGAAGATGCTTAGCGGGGTTACAGCAGAAGTCCGAGCAGACTAGAGCCTCTCTGTCCCGGAATTCGCGCCCAGTCATTAACCGACCCTACCGTTGATTTCCTTTACGCCTTGGTGGCAATGCTGCCGCTGCATTGTGAGACTGAAAGAGCCTTGCATCGGGATAAATATGAGCCGAGCTGAAATACCGGCGAACCAGGTACGGTTCCAACCCACCATCTCTTTGGAGTCCTGCCACGATAATTGGTATTTCTGAACTCGAGTGGTTGATCTTTCGGGGCACGCATAAGATCGGCCAGTTCGGAGCTATTGTGCCACGAATCAGGTCTTTCGATATAATTTCTATTTAGCAATGCATAAATCGATCGCGATGATCTTAAAACGTCTTACACAGTAAATTCTCGTTTGTCGCAATAGCCGTATTGCATTTTTAAGCGAATATAACTCGATTAGCTATCGCAAGCAGTCTTTTCTTAGCTAAACCCCGCTTTTCTGCCAAAAAGATAGCGGCCGCATACAAAACGGCCGGGTTTATACCTAAAGGAGGTAGATTCGGCAGCAACCGCTGCATTATTGCTGTAATCGCTTTTATTTTTATATTCCTATTTAAAGAAATAAATACCGGTTCGAATGCGCAAAAAAAATGCGCAAATCGAACCAAAGACATCAAATGCCTGCATAGTCATTAATTCGTTATCGATCCGATTATTAGGCGGGCGCTTTTCAGTTTATCTAGGGCAGAGCGGACGGGATGCCGAGTTTTCTAAAAGCTATGGTCGTATGTGTTGGTATTCGCTATTATTCATAATGAGATCAGCTGTGCTAATAAAATATCCAAATATTGTTGGTGGTGCTGGTGGTTGCCTTCCACGGGGGTATCTGCATAAACGTGACGCAGAGGCCTGAGATTTTGTCGAGTGGGGCAGGGACTTACTGGTTTTCTGGTCTAGTGCAGTCGTAGAAAGACGACAAGAGATGGGTATCGACGACAATGTCTTCAACATCGGCGGTGATTGCCCTCATTCAATCACCCGGGGGGGGGGGGGGGGGGGGGTCACTAAGTGCCAATGTCTCGCCATATGCTGACTAGAAGGGAATGGATCCTCCCGGGGATTCGATCCCTCAAGAAAGGATACCTGCATGAGCAAAACCGCCAATCGCAGACTGTAACTTGAATCGTTATGTTGAGAAGTTCAAGTCAGACTTTGAATCTAATGAGTCGACTAGGTATTGAAGTCGACAGATGAGTTTCTTGGGAGTCGCACTCAATATTAGGGAGGAAGACAACCAGGCACAGACTTGGTATCTACTGCCCACTCCAATTGATATAAAATTAAAAATTCAAAATCCAATGCTTCATGGAAACCATGACGCTGAAGGAGCTGATGCAGTATCTTGAGTTGTGGCGTTGCATTATAGCTGACTGCGGCGTGTTGCGGCGCAGTTCTCGGCATGCCGAAATGATTGGCCATTTCGCTTCAAAGCTCACCATGATGAATTCTGACCCTGAGATTGAGCTTAGCGTAAAGCTGGGCATCCTCACAGCTGAGAGTAAGTCTGGTTTGAAGCCCTTGAGATGTTGACATAAGTGTTTTGCGCCATGGTGGAATCTGAAGAAGGGTGGAAACGATTGTGCACACATCAGACCATGTTTGAACATGACGATGGATCATATAAGAAGGTAAGGGAGTCCCACCATCCTCGAGCACCATTCATTGTGTACGCATATGCCGTTATCTAAGTATTTGAAGGCACAGCCTGGCAGATGCAGATAGGATTTCTCTTTCTCTGAGAGGTCAACTCAGCAAGATAGGTGGTCCACTTCCAGCTTTATTTGACACTCAATATTGACATACTATGATGTGCCACAGTGTGGCTGGATGTGTGGCACCCTTTGGGTGACACAACGGGAAGGGTTGACCAAGTCTGTTTGTTCACACATTATTTTCGTAGATGTAGACCACCTTTAATTTTACTCTTTATTTCAGATACTGGTCGTATCATACTAGCTCGAAGCAATATGTCAAAGAACCCGCAAGGTGCCCGTTGTACAAGTATTTTTCAATTGAGCACTATGGTATGACAGTTCGATAAGACAGGAAGATACATCAATCCGATTCTGCCTATCATAAACGTGTTGCGCCAGTTCATCTCTAATCAGACTAGTAAAGAACATGACGCTTCTTATGGGTGTCGTCATGTTTGTGATCATTGCCCAGCACAGGGACTTGAACATAGGCCTGGGTTTTTATTTCTGCTTGCAAATAACACCTCATACCTGCCTTTTTTGCCCTGTAGATTAACAAGCTTCTTAGTGCAATGTTGGCATTAGAGAGCGAGCCGCTATAGGGCAATACCACGGCTCGTCACACAAGTCCAATAAAATGGATAAAACAGCGAATGCTTGTAGAATAAGCAGCCCATCGTAAGGGATCGCATCAAAGCTCAATGTCGGGACCCATTTGAAACTGCAATCAATTTAGACTCCATTCAGGACATGGCGTTATTCCTTACAAGAAACGAAACACTTGGCCCCGTTGGTGGGTCTCAGTCCATTTTAAGCTTGTTTGAAGCTTTTAAGGTTGTCTGAGACATCGTCCCAACGTCGCGGTCTGAACCTTAGATCGACCCGTCATCCCATGCATTGTTTCAGTTACCTGACGAATGGACGTAGACCATGTTTTGCACTGCGGAACTCGAATTTGGGGAAACCAATCTTTGATCACGTGGAATATAGACGCAGGATGAATATTGGGATAAATCTTGGGATAAATGTTGTGGTATCTAAAAGCTTTCTAAATCTAGAAAGATATTCTTCGAAATCAATATGTACTTTTTTAAGAACGTAAACGTCGTGAATAGAAGCAATGTCAGTGGCAGCCTACAGGGCGCTCACAAGCAAGTAAATGGCAATGCTTGAGATTAACGCCGAGACTGACGCACCGACCTTGGAGTTGGCACCAGAGGTTATTGGCTGAGCAGTGCCGGTAGCAGCAGAGCCACTGCTGGTCGCGCTGCTTTGAGAAGACGACTTTGTAGCAACCACCAATGTGCTCGAAGCATTGGCGCTCGTCGGTACAGCACTTGAGGCAATCGAGCTGGTGCCAGCTGCGGTAGAGGCAATCGAGCTGGAGCCAGCTGTAGTAGAGGATTGAACCGAGGAGACCAGAGTAGTGGCAGAAGAGCTTGCAGACTCGGTGGTTTGGGCGGCAGTGGTAGACTGAGTGCTGTAGGCAGGAGCAAAGGAGGAAGTCGTGGCAGCTGCGGTCGTCGTGGCTGGGGCAGTCTTGTATTCTTGGACGGAAGACGAGCTGCTAGTAACCTCAAGGAAGACGGCATCGACCGTAGAAGTGGTGGCGGTGCTGACAGCCGGCGCAGCCGAGGTGGTCGCTACAGTTTCCACCTCGGCATCAGAGTCGGACGACGAGTCAGATGACGAGTCGGCACTGGCTTCAGCATAGGTGTAGCCACTTGCAACAACTCCACTGCCGGCCGTGACAACCTTGCCAGACTGATACTCGATGTTGTAAACCGGCGTCGACGTCAAGGACGTGGTGAGTCCGAGGGTGTGCGAGCAGCTGGGCTGGTTGCTGACGGCCAGATCAAGCGTGCATGTCTCGTCATAGCCCAAAGTGCAAACCGAGTCGCAGATGTTGTAGAGAACGTGGTTCTGGGCAACCCAGCTATCCGGCTCTGCCAGACAGCTAGCCAAGAAGTTCATGCTGTTGGAAGCAGAGAGTGGCAGTTTGGAGCCATCAGTCTTGATCAAGTCGGCGCATTCCGAGGCGTCCACCTCTTCGTATTCCATGTCGACACCTCCACCAGTGATGGCATCAACAGAAGCGGACTTGCCGGTCTGGAGGTAGGCCCAGGCGTCGTAGCTGATATCATAAGCGCCGCCAGACTGGTCAATGCGCAAAAGGTTGACGGAGCGATCTCCATAGGTGAGCTTGACACAGATGTTGTTGCAGTCGACGGAGCCTGGCCAGTAGGCTACGCGATTGGTATCAATCTTACAACCAAGAACACCGACGGAAGACGAGTAGGAGTCGTGGGGAGTCGTTGAGACGCTTGTAGCCGCGGTGCCTGCCGCGAGGGCCAAGATGGTGGCGTAGTTGAAGCCGTACATTGTTCTTATGTTTCTTGAAATGAAGAGGCCTGAGTTGTTGGCAATGAGGGTCAAAGGGCACTGTTGTATCCGTGCTGGGTATACGATGGATCTATGGTTTCCGGATGGGAGTCGAGACTACACTCAAATGAGGTTATATGAATCTGTTTGTCTTGTGTAGTCGCCCGCTGGGCTGGACTGTCTGATTCTGTCAAGGAGTGACTTTTTTTTGGTTGATTTGGATATCGAAGCTCGCTGGGAGCAAAGAATGGACTGCCACAAAGTGCGCGGCGGAGTTGGTGTAGTCTCGCGGAGGTTAGAGAAGGACTGGAAAGAAAGAATGACGAACGGGCGCGGCGAGCGTCGTAAACAAGTACTCCGTAGTAAAACAACAGGAAGGGGGAGGAAAAATCTCAACAGAGAAGATGAAGCGCCGGCTCGCAGCGCCATTGCGCCTCTCTTGGCTGGAGCTGAGGGCCTGAGGCCCAACTGGGAGCCCGGCCGGGGGGAGTCGCGGGTCACAGCAATAGCGCAAAACAGACTGGGCAAACACCAGAATGGAGATGGGAAACAGGCTAGGGGAACGTCCCCCGTCTGTACCTTGCAGTCAGCACTTCATAGCGTACCATCGTAGCACCCTAAAAATGCCCCGGCGCAGGAACGATTCATGATCCTCTGGGCTAGCGTCGGGAATCCACGTGTCTGTGATTGGATGGACGGTTGAAATGAGTACATCTTGGTACCAGTTGGCTGCAGGAACCCGTACCACCCTGTCACGTGTCACGGCACAAGCCTGAGAAAAAGCCTTATGCAAGCTCTAATGCAGGGCGAAGCCAATCAAAGCAGCACGGGAGAAAAAGAAGAAAAAATTCTGATAATTCCCAGAGTCCAGACTGAAAAATTCAAAAATAACGCACATTAGCTGAGAAGAGTTTTGTCTCGTACATAGTTCTAGTCAGCCCACGGCGCAACTATTCTGGAAACTAGTAATGCTCGGCAATTGCACAATTCGACAAGTGCGCGCAGTCAAATCCTTTTGGGCCTTCAGGATTCATTCGAGCGGCCTCTGTTGGCTCCCCCCATGCCCCGTTCATTAGAGTAGGGCGACCGATCAGTGCCTGAAAGGCTGATAGTACGGAATAAAGTCGCAGATTAGCTATGATTAGGTACCTGGAGCCCCCCGGCAGTGCTCAACGTCGAGTGCCAGCGTGGTGGTAGTAGGGTGGGTAAAACAGACATTGCTGGCACAGCCTGGACTTACTGGAAAACATGATACATCCTTGTAAGATCCGTTTTTATTAGACTTTTAGTCTCCCTTTCCCCGCACGGTCACCAAACTTTGCGTTGGCATGAGTTGGCCCAAAAGTGGCCCTGGCCTGGCGGTTCGGAGTTCCTTGCTCAGAACACACGTACGTACGGATGCTCCGGTACGCACACCGACAGTCTGGGTAAGCTGGTTGTATTGCACCATGTAACCGCTTTGGTAACTGTACGCGAGAAACACATTGTGCATCTCTAAGTGTTGATTGTGCGAGTATGACAGCAGTAGGGTGCCGAGTATATTGATGCCATTACAATGTAGTGTGATGACACTCTAGTTTGCCATGTCACTGCATCATCTGCCTCGTCTAAAGAGTCGTGACTCTGGCGAATATTTCTCATACAAGGTCATCCGAGCCGGCCATATCAGTCTACAGAGAGTCCTTCGTTGCATATGAACAGAGTCTCATTATCCTGGATGTCTTTCCCATTGGCCAAGATTGAACTGACGTGCTTCGTTTATTTCGTAAATTTTCTCTGTATAACATCACCATGAATACAATTGCCTGTCTGCGAATGTAATGGGCGTCTAGTGCATCATTAAAGAGTGTTTCTACTAAAATATTGTCTGCCCGCAATGACAGCGCACTGCAATGGGATCAAGGTCCGTGGTTCATATTTCTTTTCCCACAATTTCCTTGAAGCTATAGTTACGCCAGCCGTTTTTGGCTCAGGAATATGTATTGGCCACTCGGCAAATACTGAGCCTTTTCGTGATTACGAAGCACTGTCAGAGGAGAGACTAGGCGGCTTCAAGCCAATAATTAGTTGGGACGCAGTCACGCTTTTCAATTAACATATTTTCCGCTGGTCTAGATCATTCACTGCAGCCGGTATGCACAGTCAATGCTACCGATTCTTGCTTGAGCGCGTTTATTTCGTTTGATATTGAAACCGCTTTCCTCCGTCTGGGGCTGTGCAGATTCGGTCCCATGGAGATGCGTAGAACAAACTTGGAAGATATCCCAATTCTCGTGCCCTAGTGTCTCAATTCATCTTTTGAACACATTATCATCCTTTGTCGTATTATATGAATGATGATGGACGAAACTTGGCCGATGGCTACCCAAGTCAAGAGGAAGAGGCGACAGTCTTCTGACGGTTGTGTAGAACACAATGCGACAGCGAAGAAAGCTGATGAGCGTAGACACATTGAAAAAGAAAAGAAAATCATGAATTCAAATGAGACAGAATGATATTTCCAGCAGCCAAGGCTTGTGCGAAAGGCTTTACCTATTATTCAGTGTGGCTGGCGGTGTTTGCTGGGTCGCCGACCTCGGCGCAGTCGCCATTCCATGAAACAGGGTGGCCGCCAGCCATAGGCCCATACGAATGCTTGACAACATTGGGAGATTTGTAAGTATCTCCAAAATCGGAACCGAATGGTCATTTCATATTTCCAGGACGACAGTATCATTGGTGTTATTCTTGCTACGAAATCGAATATCCCGAGACTCGGACTTAATATCTCCGCCATAGACTTGGTCGGCCCCGATGCGGACACGGCGTCAAGCATACCACTCGGCGCAGCATGCCGAATACTAATGTTTAAATCTGCATGATGCCTCTTTCTTAGGTACGGGAAGTAGATCTGATTAGATTAATCTGATAAAGGCTATATTCTTGGTCCAAAACTTGCATCATAACTTTCCATCATTTTACCTCACTTTCTGGTGGCTCGGAAGGCGATCGCAGCGCTTTGAATTGCCCGTATAACAACCTCGAAATAATTCCAAAGTCTGGAGATACTATCCATCACCATGGCCTCAGATAAATTAACGTTGATCCGCAAGGCTCTCCAACTGTTCTTCCCCATGATGGGCAAAATGGCTATACAGCGCATAGCTGCAGTGTACCACGGCTGGACGTGGCGATACCGAGCTGATGCCAAGAATGTCGTGGTAGTAGGAGGTTCTTTTGCAGGTATTCAGCTGGTCAAGAGGTTGTCAGAGACATTGCCCACGGGATACAAGGTGATCTGGATCGAGAAGAATTCGCACCTCAACTACTCTTTCGTCTTCCCTCGGTTCTCCGTCCTGACCGAGCACGAGCACATGGCCTTTATCCCATACGACGGGATCGGTCGGGGAGCTCCAACCGGCATCGTCACACACATTCAAGACACGGTGGTCGACGTCTCGGGGGAACAAGTGCTGCTCGCATCGGGAGAAGCTATCGATTACTCCTACCTGGCCATTGCCACGGGGTCGTCACAGCCGCTCCCGGTGCAGGTCAGATCAACTGAGCGTGAGGATGCCTGCTACGAGTTGCGGGGAGTTCAGCAAGCTATCAAATCAAGCCAGAGGATCGCCATTGTCGGAGGCGGGGCAGTGGGTGTTCAGCTGTCCAGCGACATCAAGGATTTTTATCCCGACAAAGAGGTCACCCTGGTTCACTCGCGCGATAATGTGATGAATCACTTTGGCAAACGCTTACAGGACTACGCACTCGATGCCCTGCGAAACGAGCTCGGAGTCCGTGTTCTCCTAAATGAGCGGCCAGAGATGCCTGCACAGGGTAATTTTGCAAGGTCTGCAACATTGGCCTTTTCTGATGGCCGCAAGGAGGATTTTGATCTGATTGTAAGTCCGCGTATAATCGATTAGTCTCACAAGAAACCTACTAATCAGAAATATAGATTGGCTGCACAGGACAGCGACCCAACTCAGCCATCCTCACATCGTACCTCCCTAGTGCCATCTCAAAGGAGACTTCCCGGATCCTGGTCGATCCGACACTACAAGTGTGGCCACAAGACACGCCGATCAGCCATAATCTGCCTATATTTGCCTTTGGAGATGTGGCAGAGCACGGAGGGCCCAAGATGGCACGTGCCGGGTTCATGCAGGCCGACATTGTAGTGGGCAATATTTTGGACATGATCAATGGTCGGGTGCCTTCACAAATTTACAAGCCAAAATGGTTTCTCGAAAACGCCATCAAACTGACTCTAGGAAAATCGCATAAAGCCATTTATGCCATGGACAGCGATGGCTCTGATGTTCTCATTCCCGACAGAAAGAGTACCGCGCTTGATCTGGGCATCAAGCATGCTTGGGGTCAGGTTGGTGCTGACTTCAAGTTGGCTGGGGCACCACTTGCAGAGCAATCAGGAAAGGACAGATAGGGTGAACATTACAATCAGGGTAATCCACCCTGTCATGATAACTCAAAAGCCTAATCACAAGGTGGACCTAATTCAAACTTTGCACTTATTTGAAAATTTGCCCATTGTACATATGTAAAGCATTGTTGCTGGAGCTACGATCAGAAGTGAGTCAACAACCCCAAGATCAGGAGAAAGGGAAACGTTTTGTGAGCCGGTACTCGTAGAACACAAACCCCAGATCCCTATCCTCCCGAGAGAACGTAGATGTTACTTGGTAGCGCTTAAATGAAGACCAATGCATTGAGACGAGCATGCAGCGACACCGGGAAAAAAAAAATAAAGACCTTACTTCTAATTTTGAAAACGGATGATCATTATTTACTCACACACGCACAAGATATGCGTGGTAATATTTGGTTCTCGAACGGGAAACTGTTTAGAGATTGAATATGGCCATATGAAGGTCACGTGATCTTCCCATACGTTCCCCCCGCCCAAGAGATCCCTAAGCGCATTCCCATGGCACGAAAACCACTGTGCACCATCACTGTATAAATACTTCCGACATTCAGATTCTGTCTGCAAAGTCAAGTCTTTCCTCATTGCCACAACACTCAATCTCTTTAGTCACGAGTTCCAATCACAATGGATCGAAAGAAGGAGCAGGGAACTCTCATCGGTACGTCGTCAAATTGTTGAGTTCCGTCGAAATCGGGACACCAAAACATCATCCACAAATGGCAATGAGAAGCGCCTTCCTCAGCGACAAGGGACAAGCTGTATGTACTGACCAAAAGGGGCCGGCTTGCAGATCGGCATAACAAGGCGATGGCTGCGATTCTGCGACGCTTCCTCAACATGACCAAGGCGGCCACGGCGCCGATTCCGAGGGACGGCGCACTAGACACCGAGGCCCTCAACCAGATGCGGATGGAGACGGAGACAAATGCCTTGGTACGAATGAACCGCCTTTTTTTTTTAATCCGTCTTTATAACGATCTTTGTCCACTGCCTTCTCACGATGCCTAGTGGTTTGCGTACATACTAACAAGCTTGCCGTGCCAGATTACGGAAATCCAGAACCTCCTCGTCATTACGCGAGAGATCAAGGCGCTCTGGATCAAGGGCCCGCTGCGCAAGCCCGGCGAGGACGCCGCGCAGCAGGCCGAGCTGGACGCCAAGGCTATGCGCGTCCAGGAGCTCTACAATACGCTCATGGCACAGCGGATGGAGGGGCAGAAGCGCGACGCCGAGGCCAGGGCGCGCGGTTCGGAACAGCAAGCGGCGTGAGGGAGTGAGTAAGGGAAGGGCGGGGCTCCTTCTCGTGGAACAGCATCTTCTCAAGACCCAATGGCATGGCGTCTATGCGGATTTTTGGAGCTGCCGCAGGTCTGTTTAGTGGCACAGGTGTGTTTGAATTTTTTGAGGCGTTCGGCAAGACTAGGATATGGCTGCGATTACATCGATACCCCAACGTTGAAAAAAGGTGGTCACCAGGCGTTGACATGGTTTATCTACTCCAATGAACTTGGGCTGCTTTGTGATCTCTTATTTCGATTCATCTATACAAAGCTGCAATCTATAAATGCATTGTGCCTGGCCACCGACAGTGGCTGGCTATTGAGTTTGTGGCCGCTTCATCACAGCGCCTTAACCTTCACCACCCTCGACGTCTTCACTTTCGTCGTCGCCCAGCTCAGCCTTCAGAGGCTCGGGCATATCGTCACCCTGCCCAGTGCGCTTGCGGGCAGCTGGAATACCACCGGCAGTTACCCACAAGAAGTAATCAGATTTGAAGTGGTCGATCTGGTGGAAGAAAGTATGGAATCTAGAGCTGATCAGTTACACTATCCCAAACAACGTTGACTGGGGTGCTTACGAGTTCTCCTTTTCCTCAAGGTCAAAAATGCGCTGGTAGATGTGCTCGTTTTTGAACTGCTGGATCTCCTTTTCGTAGTTGCCAAAGTCGATCGCAGGTCGCTCAAAGCTATCCTGGGCTCTTTGATTGTAGTTGTGGAAAACGGGGCGCTCCAGTAAAAGTCCCAGACTGGGAGCCTTTGGGATACTGATTTTGTCGTCACGGTACGTTTGAGAGATGCGCTCCATGTCTGTTCCGCAGCGAACCACAAGCACCGCCATGCCGACCATCTTGCGGATTTGGTGCATCATGAAGGATTGGCCGTGGACCTTGAGAGAGAGCCATTGTGTATCGTTGATCTGAACTGGTTCGGGGTTTACAACAAAAGATTTAATGGTACGCTTGGCAGACGGGTCTGTAGCATTCTTCTGCACCGTGTAGTTGTGGTAATTCTTCGTTCCCAGGTACTGGTTCAGAGCTTCCTGGAGCTGGTTCAGGCGTTCTGGGGTGATGCGGTATCGGCGCTTCGCTGCCACGTAAGCGGCCTTGATCCTCTTGAGGGCGACATCCACAGGATTAGGCTCTTTTGACTCCTTCATTTCCTTCGGCTCTGAGGGTTGCGTCGAAGTAGCATCGGCTTCATCTGCTGCGGTTGTCTCACTAGTCACATTATCTTGGTCCAACGTGGTCATGACAACATCGGTGTCCTTTGTTGTTGTGTCATCCGCAGGTTGTGTTTCCGTGTCGGCCTTCTCAGCAGTGCTATCTTGTGCGTCATCCTCGGCAGGTTCGTCGATCTTGACAATCTTGGAGCCCTGGCTCTCGGACTCGGCAGCATGTCTCCTTCGCTGGACACGTTCGCGAATATCTGGGGCCAGGCTGTCAAGAATAGGTTGGATATCATTCTTCTCCACGTCCTCCCAAAAGTTGGCAACGTCAGCCAAGCGCTGGTTGTACTGCTCCTCAACACCATGCTCCTTGACCGAATCGACAACCTTCTTGCCCAAAAAGCTCTCTGGGTGAGGCGGCAGCAGGCAATAGCTGGGCATCAGGTACTCGTACCATCTCGAATCGCAGGCTTGGTAGCAGCTAAAGGAATTGTTGGTTCTTTGGATACCCCAGACTCTGATCTGAGGCGGCAGCGCGTCGTTGATCTTTTGAAGAATGTCCGGATCCTCAATGATCAGCTTTAGGGAAATGACATTGCCGGCCGCATGTACACCCTTGTCGGTTCTCGCAGTTCGTACCAGACTCGACTTTCGTGGATCGTCGGCGTTGACTTTTGAGATTGCCTTGGCCGCAACAAATGCGCCAAACAAATCTCCTTCAATGGTCTTCTCCTTGTGGTTGATCTGCAGACCATGGTATCCCGTGCCCGCGTATCCAACCATGACAGCAACCTTGCGCTTCGGTCGGCGCTCCTCGGCCTCGATCTCTTCCTTGGGGAACTGGATGCTCATGTAGCTCTGCTCGCCGTCGGCACCGACGCGTCTACCGCTCTCGTCGACCTTTAGCCGCTTGCGCTCTCGCCAGTCATTTTGGCGCTCGCGCTTGTCGCCACGTTGCTCGCTGCGATGTGCTGCGTTAGCCCGCATTGGCATGGGTGTACTACACTGCGCCGCGAAGAGGATGAATATCAGACTTACTTGGCCTCCTTGTGCGTGAACTCGTGCTTGCGACCGCTGCCTTTTCCTCCGCGACCGCCACCACGTCGATTCCGTCCTCCACGACCCCCTCGGCCACCGTCGAACTTGCGCTTCCGGGGCTCGCCGTCTGCTGCAGCGCCCGACTCGCCGTCTGGAACATCCTTGGTCTTTGCTGGTTCGGCAGCAGGCACAGGCTTGTTGGATTGCGCCTCAGAGGGAGCGGAGCGCTGAGGCTCGGGGTGAGATTCCGATTCGGGAGCCATTGTGAAAATCGCAAGCACAACCGCATGTCTCACCTAGAAAAGAAGGAGCGTGAAAGACTGAAGCTGTCGCGGAATTCTTTCTCGTAACGAAGCTCTACTAAAGGCCCCGCCAAAAAATTTATCTTATCGCAGGCAAGTCCGTGCACGTACTGAATCGCTAGGCGACCTGGTGCTAGAGTCAAGCACTAAAGAATAACAAAGCGCTGAGCTTCCACTGCCCTTGTTGTATTGTGCCTGATTAATGCAACTCAATAGTTCACTGCCAGTACAGGGAACCCCTACCTCCGATATTCATAGTGCTTCATGTTAATGTGTGCATGATCAATTATATGATATTCTTTTTCAATGGGCCTACTACATTGCCTCATTTTCAGTATGCTCTTATGATCATTTTGGTACGAGAACAAGCGGTCAATCTGTATTTTCTTCTACACAAGACTTGGTCTCCATACCCAGGTACATTTAGACACATCGGTGTGTTCATCGGAAGTATGGAGCGACCACCGCCTTTGCAATATTCCAGGCATCGTCAAATGCCTTGACCAACTCGTCGGGCAACGGGCCCTTTTCCAAATTGACCAGATTCTCCTCCAATTGAGCAGCGCTGCTGGCCCCGATGATGATCGCATCGCCCTTCTCCCGGTCAAGTTGTCCATGGTGGCTCTCCCATCGCAGCGCCGCCTCGGCCGTGCTGATCCCAAGCTTTTTCGCAACCGGCCTCACTGCGTCCAGCGCATCAAAATACGTCTCGTTCCAGTATCGGCCGCGGTAGCTACGTCCCTGCATCCTCTCTGGGTCAAAGCGGCTGCCCTTTTCCAAGTCGGCAATCGCCGTGTCTCGCTGGTAGCGCTCCGTCAAGAAGCCGCCGGCGAGGGGGTTGAAGGCGTAAAAGGCAATACCATAGTAGCGCAGACAAGGGAACAGCTCCGGCTCGACGCCGCGGTGAATGCCATTGTACACGCCCTGGTACACGTCAGGCCGCTTCCACCCATGGCGGATGCAGAGCTCGCTAATCTGGGCCACCTCCCATGCCGCGTAGTTGCTGATGCCAAACCGCTTAAAGTAGCCCTGCTTGTACAATTCATTGACTTCGCGTAGAGTGTCCTCGTACGGGACCGAGTGGTCCGGCGCATGGAGGTACCATAGGTCAATCTTTTCCGTCTTGAGGGCGGCGAGAGAGTCCTTGAGGCCTCGACGCAGGTCCGACGGCGTGTGGTTATACTTGAGCTGCGCGGGTACGGGTGAGAGCTTGGTATCGAGTACGATTCCGCGGTCTTGCCATCCAAGAGCGCCAAGGAATTCCTCGGTCGAGCCCCCGGCATAGGATCGGGCCGTGTCAACCTCGATGTGTCCGTGAGCTTGGAACACATCCAAAATCTTTCCTGCCTCCTCGAGCGAGTGGACACGGGCTTGCTCAGCACCTACCATGCAGTTAGTTTCATCATGTTTTGCTCAGCGGCTTGATTAACAGTGGGTTTTCCCAACCTTCTTTCCCCAAGGTCATCGACCCAAAAACAATCTTCTGCGGTGACTTTGGTTGCGCCATCATAAGTGTCCTGAGGTCGAGAGTATAATGATGGGAATAGCTTGGCTATGACCAGGTATGAGAGAGCAAACCACGACTTGTCAAACTTGCTTGCTCTGAAAGCTTATATCGCTGTTTTGAAGGCTGCAATAAGTGAGGAGTAGATTGATGCACACGGCCGGCATCGTCCATGCCTCCGACCATTGGCCGATCGGCGTAACGTGATTGAGACACGGGATGTCGACATCGGAGGACAGCTACAGCCCGCATAAAGTTACGCCACAGAGTAGATACAAATCCACAAATATATCCATCGATAATGTGTTGTAATATTCACATTATCCTTACTGCACGTATCGGATGGCTGAGAGCTATAGTCGTCAGAGCTCATAATGGGGCTATAGACTACGCTCATTCACGTATAGCCGATTTTGGACACGCCTGTGCTTGAACAGTCACCAACTCCCATGCGAGCGCACCAAAACAAGCATCAGTAGTCGATCAATTTTGTTCATTGGTGGGTACATATATATGCAGTGCTTGCTATATACACTTTTATCCTCGTCCTATTTGCTTTCTATCACTGAGCCTCGTTTCCAATGGGTCGGCAATCTCCGCCTAGTAGGTGTAACGGAATCCGCGTTCGCGCACCTCCTATACATACGGTTAGCTATCATTCTCTTCACGCTCATTCTTTTCAAAACAAGATAAGGTCCACTCACATCTTCTTCGTGCTCCAATTCCTTCTCACCCCTGTCAGCAGCGCGGTTGTCGAAATAGAATTTGGTATCCACTATCAGCACAAGAATGATGCTGAGCAAGGCACAGGCAATGGCTGCGTATAGACCAGGCTTGTAGCCCGTCGCGGCATCTTGCGATCTAGATTTGGCAGACTGTCAGCAAGGCGATCTCAAGCAGGTCTCCATCAGTTCAAGATGGTGAGGAAGGGCTGATCTGCTTTACCTGAATACCAGACTACCAGCGATACCACCAATTCCACCAAAGCCGACAAAGGTTGCGCTGCAAAAGGCCCGCTTCCACTGGCCTCTAATGTTGTTTGCCTGGTAGGCCAAGGCCGCCGGGACATTGGAGTTGGCGCCCGCAGTGACGAGAAAGACGCCAAAGTAGCGGACCGACGGGTTGGGGTGCCAGCCCATGATGGGAATACCAATAAGACACAAGACCATGTTGGCAAGAATAATGGGGCCGCGGATGCGGTAGCGGTCACCCAGCCAGCCGGTTCCGAACATGACGAAGCCGGCAAAGGCGTAAGGCGGCGCGACTAGACATTGCGAAGCACCCACGCTGAAGCCAAGGTTGGTGTTGAGGATGATGGGCATAAAGTAGGCCAGCGCGTAGGTAACGGTCGTGGTGTTGAAGAAGATGAGGGCGTAGCACCTACATGAGAGGGAAAAGAACAAAGCCGTTAGCGCTTTTCAATTATGTTGACATGCACGAAGAGTTGTCTCTTTGGGGCACCGTGGAGGAACTCACCAGATTTTCCAGTCTAGACCAGCTTTAAGGAATTTCGTGAGCTGGAACTTGGGCGTTTCCGCATCGCCTCGGTCGGCGTTAATCTTCTTAACAATCCAGGCCCGCTCATTGTCGTCGAGAAACTTCCAAAGTTTGCGCTTGGAGTCGGGGAAATCGACCAGGAGCCAGTAGCTGGCTATGGCAATCACACAAGTGAGCACACCTTCAATGATGAAGATCCCTACATCATTCCAAGTCAGTAATTGAGAGGCTAGATTGCCACAAGTCAAGACGCCCACTTACACCGCCACCCAGTCAGATTTTGAAGTCCGTTCATCTGCATGAGGCCGAAAGCAAGAATTCCAGAGAATCCAGAGGCAACGCAGCCAATAACATAGAACAGCGAATATCGCTTGCCGACCTCGTCTGTCAAGATGATATTAGCATTTCAAATTCTTGGTGATGCGTGGGCTACAGCTCACATCTTGTATACTATAATCATTCCATCAGTAATCTTATTCATGGTAAGTATTGCTGGAAAAAGAGACTTACCCAGGTACTCAGCAGATAAACACAGCTTGGGAAGAATCCAGCCTCGAGTATACCAAGGACACATCGCAAGGCAGCAAGTTGGGAAAAGTCCTTGACAAAGCCAAACCCAATCATGACAGAACCCCAGAGCAGTGTGATGACGGCGAGATGGATGCGCGGTCCAACCAGGCGGATAATGACGGTTGACGGCGGTTGGAAGACGATATATGTTACAAAAAACACCAGAGTTACGATCGAGTATTTGTTGCCGACGAGCTCCAGCTCCTTGGCCATACCGGCAATGACGGCGGCTGACAGGTTGGTTCTATTCCGCCACACAAAGTCCAGTCAGCACATTGAGAGTCACACAAGCCCGCCTGTTTGTTTTCATATGCTGAGCAAGGGAATCCTCATGTCGTAGACGTACCTGTCCATCAGCGATATGCAGTACATGACGCCGACTGTTACGACGAGTCGGCGGTCCACGCGACGGACAATTCGTCTTTGCTCCTCGGGGGAGAACTCAGTCTCCCAGGCATTGGTAGCCTCGGTGGCCGTCTTGGTGAGCTCGACGTCTGGGACATAGTCCACGTCTGCTTTTTCAAATTCGTGGGACATGGTGGCGACGTTTGATGAAAGAAAGCAGGGGAAAGTAGGAAAACGGGGAAGAGTAGAGGGGGAACGCTTCCAGATGATGATTTTCCCAGAGCGACACGGAGCAAAGGGAAAGGGGGAACCAAGTTCAAAACTTCAATGCGTCCTCATCGTGGGCTATATACCTGGGTTATGAGTGTGGGTTGTGTGTCCATTTGAGCTAGGTAGGTAGGATCCGAAAGACGTGCCTCTTTTCACTCTGGAATCTCCGCATTCTACGGAAACCCTGTGACCATTACTTCACGACCAGAACTACTGGTTACCCGCTATCCTGGGGGTGCATCGCAGCAACTGACATATGCGGCCTAGTCGGTGAGAATGTATCGGATCCCTGCATGGAACTGCCCAATGCCAGTCGAGAGATGGATGGTGGTCTACATAGTATTTCTCGGGTATCCTTGGCACAGGTCAACTCCTCATGGCGGGCAGGGGAAGGGAAGAGCGGAGGAGGGACTCGGGGGGAGGCAATGAGTGCCCCATGTATATGACGATTCTCCAAACTCTCGGCAGAAAGCCCCCCCCAGTCCAGCTTATCTTACCCCACAGAGCTGGTTATTTACCCTATCTAGACTGACTGCTATAGAGCCGTGTGGTGCACAGCGGCCAACTCTAAAAGAAAGCTACTTGCAATATATTAGGAAGACCGCGTCGTCGCATAGACCTGTTCTGCATTAGCCCCAAGCTTAGATTAGGTAGTCCCATACTCTCAGAAATGCTTCACTTGATTCAACGACATGTTCGTTAGACTCGGGAAACCTTACCGTTTACCGCTGATGTGTTTTCAAGTTCCTTGGTGCCCGCTCGTCTTTTTGAAAATCTCCACAGATTCCACTTATTTTACCCCGGAGTGTGGACCTGGGGTAAGAAAGACGACCAACAAAGATGCGGGGGAAATGGGCTGAGCGCCCAGTTTTGAGACAAGCGAATTGCGGGGGTGCTCTTGACCCAATATGGTTCTTTGCGCCGTGATGCCTCGGGAGGCGTAGCTAATAGAGGCATCAGTCGTGCGTGTTTTCTGATATTGAATCGAGCGTGATGTATCGTGTAGCTCTCTAGGACCTTCGACGCAGTCGTATCCGGCAAGTCGGATGCCAGCTTGGCAAAGGAATGGTGTGCGTGCCTACATCTGCGTGCAGAGTACCATCCATGTGGTAACGGATGGGAAGTTTTGGTCTCTCTGGGCTCAACTAGTAGGTTGTTCAGAATGGCCATCATGGTCTAGATCTCTGTGTCTATCCCGATTATATGGTACCCTATGCGGCAGATCATGTCAATAAATAAGCCATACGAAGCTTAGGCACACCAATAATACGACTACATCTTCAAAAAGGCAGATCTTTCTTTGGAAGCGGTATGGCGGCCACGTGGTCAGCATTTAATCTCAACCTTCTGCCCTTGCCTGTTTAACCTACATTCCACACATTCATTATCGTCCAATACTGTGTTACCTGATGTTCACTCACTCTGTTTGGTATAAGCACTCAGGAGGGTGTGGTTGAGGTATAAGTAGACCTAACCAAGTTGAGTCTCGGTCGCGAACAATGCTCAGAGCCGCACATTCGCTAAAAACGCCTGCTATCATACTAGACTTGGCTTCCTTCTTGAACCTCGGTCGTCGCGACTTGGCGCTACTTATGGAAAATGATGCTCTGGGAAGTGCTGAATGGCTCTCTAGCCTTGGAGCGGCGCCTGGGCAAAGGAAGTGCAAGCTGAAATGGTTGCGAATGACCTCGACGGGTCGGTGGTCATGGTGTTGCAAGCCGAGGTCAATGTTCGTAGGATCAAGCCACCACTTGAGGATGATCACTAGAGTTCGTCGACCTGATAATCGGAAGACTCGATAGAGAGACAGTATCGTCGAATCGCATCTCTTTCTCTGTTTTGATTGTGTGACCCCTTCGTGTTTCGTATAAACTACTGGTGTGATATGGAAGAGTACGCTGTTCGTATTCTTTCGTTGTGTTATCGCGGGAAAGGTCACAAAACATACCCGACATTTGTAGGTTGAATATTCATGTCATTTTCTTTCTGACCAGAAAACCTACCTTCGTGTCTACTGGATTGCCCGCATTTACTCGTTGATGCATGTCCTCGGCTTCTCTTACCCCACTGCCCGTTCTACTCCGGAGAAACATGACTGTTTGAGAAGAATGGATGGGTTATCTGGAAGCAAGATCTCATTCTGCGTCTCTACTCTTTGCCTCGACGGAGAAAAGAGCAAGTGGACCCAGCCATGAGCAACCGGGACGAGCGGAGTAGGTCATGTTGCTCAGTTGAGGCAGTTTATTTATATATGCAAGACCCTATAGATTGTTCCGGGCCCCGAACGTTGCAAGTCTCAGCTTTATTCTCCAACCTTGGCCTGAATGGTGTCTGGAGTGTGGCTTTAAGAATAATGCAATTCGATGAATAGCAGGCAGAGTTCACAAGTCGAGAATTGCCTATCAGACAAATGCTCATTCCCATACAAGAAAAGTTGGTTTTGCATTTTCTCCACTTCCAACTACAACATCTGCTACCAATGTATATAATTTTTTTTTCATACCCTTCATTTTGTACATTGTGGCTGTCTTGTAGTAGTGACAAAGTAAGAACAAGATAGTTTCATTTCCATCAGACCCTGGCTGCAAGCAAGCTCATGTAGATACCCCAAAGCAGGCCGATAAAGTTCAGAAACACAATCCGCTTCTCCACGGGGATACAGCTGAAGCTGATAATCGACGCAAACGGCCAGATCTTGAAGCCCGCGAGAATGAGTGGAAATGTCTCGAAGCGAACGTTGTGTCCAATCTGCGCAGCCGACTGGCCTTTGAGCAAGCCCATAAGGACAAAGAAGGCAACCGTGTTGACGAGGGCCCCGATGGTGATACAATCAATGAACCACTTTGTAAAGGTGTTGCTCCAGTTGAGTTTGGGTGGAGCATCACCGACCTGGGGAGTATAAAGATGGTGGTGGTTGTCCCCAGAGGACTCGTGTGCCTCCATCATGCCCACCTTCTCGTCGTCGTCGCCCTTTTCCTTGCGGCCGCTCTCGGCATCGCGCAGCGGGTCACGCGGGCGCTCGTAGGCCGGAAAGGTGTACTCGAGGTACTGCTGCCACTTGTAATTGGGCGGAGCCGTCAGGAAAGCCATGGCGACGAAGCGCAGGAACTGAGCGGCGTCAAAGACAAAGGGGCGCTCGGCGCGATAGGCGTCGAGAATCTGCGCCAATACGTTGGAGGTGCTGGACAGCGCGGCCGCAGCCAACGTCGCCTTGATCATGGGTGACGGCATCTTTCTCTTTCTTTTTATCCTATGGGCGATTTCTTGCCGATCCGTGGGTATCACTGGCGATGAATTTGCGGGTTCGAATTGTTTTTAGAGACTCGCACGGTCGCAGGCAGCGGTTCAATCAATCGGGTGGCAGATCGGGGAGTGGGTATGTACACAGAGAAACGAATGTCAGGTCGCTCATTGAAGTGCGAACCCTTGATGGTTTGACAGGAGAACGAAGGGAAGAGTTTTTGGCTCGCGGGTTATCTTGGCAGATTGCGAAGCCTGCTGAATTGCTTCGGGAGAGGGACAGAGAAATAATGTTGAGCGTTGCACCCCCAAAAAGCCAAGTACGTGTAGAGAGAGACGTTTCAGAGTTTAGGACAGCGAGAAACTCTCAGCACGATCAGCGCGGGACTTCCCCATAACGGCTCACTGCCCATGGTTTCGGGCTGATTAGCATTTTGTGGTCCCCATTAAATTGGGTTGAGTATGCAGAGCGTTGGTCTTTTGAACTGATGTCCTGAGTATGGTGACTGACTGCCTTGGCCCAAACTACTTCATCCGTAATCAAAACTACGGAATATGAATAGTAGTCGTCCCCACGGTGAGAAATGACGCTGGTTCATAAAGTGTCGCCTAGAATGCGAAAGGGCCATGACGTTATACCCACCCGCCACCAGGTACCGAGATGATAAGGCGCTATTTTGGGTCCCTTCCGTGGGGCGATAACGACCCCCAGAAATTACAAGGAAGGTATATAGGGTCCTGTTTCCTGAAGCAAGCCGAGAGACTGGAGTCTAGTGGGTTTCTAGGCTGCATCTAGCAGGTTTTGGGCCACTGGAACGATCTTTTCTAGGCCCCTACGCTCGCCTACCAATTGTTGCAGCAAGTTTCAACGAGTTCGGTTCGGTCGTTCTGGACACGAAATGGACCCCGACGCCGGCAGTCCGGAATTTCAGACAGACATGCGAGATATTAGATCGGGGCAAATTCTGGAGATCTTGATCACTGCGCCCGTGACAGACCAGTTTTCATCAATTGACCAATGATTAGGGGTGTAATTATAATAGCAAATAGAACCAAGCACCTGCATTGATGAATCGTCCGTAGATTCGCCAATTACAAGAGGTGGGCGCAGATGTCAACCAGAATGAGTCACTGTGAACAAGAAGAAAAAGACTGCCCAAATTCCCGGGTTCACCAATCACTGGGTACCACATCTCACCCACCTTGCACACCCCGTAGTGATTGAATCATCTCACGATCATAAAACTATTGCGCCGGCTATGTTTGTGCTTTAAAAATGAATCATATTCAACCGCCTAGCAGCCAAGGGCCTATTATAGCCGAGCTGAGTGATGGCTGCTTACTGCATTCTCTACCTAGGTGGGCATCATGCCTCTCACATGCCGTGTATCTGCCTTGCCCTTGACCCCGGACAAGGTCTTTTTAGTGAGGTGTACTGTACTGCGCCACGGGACCCCTAGTGCCCGTGAGTCACTTTGCACCAAGAATTCTGGGTACCAACGGGACGACGCCGCAAGCCAGGAGCTTGGAAATCAAGTGCAAGTGCCAATGACGATGATTTTATCACGTAGTATAGGATTGCCATCCATGACTATAGCCATCAACTTCAATGGTAGGCATCAGCCCTTATAAGATTCTCATTTCCACGCCCTTCTCCGTGCTCAAGTCTTTTGTTGCATCTCGACAAACAAGCTTACATTTTTCTCTCGCCGCCTCGCGCGATCCATCTTGCTGCGAATCATACAGGCGTTCTGCCAGCTAGCTGTTACCAACATTTGTACAGAGTCTTCATCTCGCATCCACATCAACACAGAACCAACCAGCATGGATTTAAACATATCCAGTCCAGTGGACCAGACGCCCATATCGTCTATAATACTCAAACAAATAGGGAGATGCTCGAGTCCAGCAGCTGCAGAGGCTCTGGCACCAGATTCCGATCAGCCGCAAAACGCAAAGTGGTTGCAGCCCAAGAGGCAACCACGAAGTAACCGGGACAGTCTATGCGCTCGCATGAACCACAACAACCGACAACGGAAAGCGACGCAGCAGTCCCGGAGATGGGTCATTGACAGCGAGGACAGCGTCGACTTGGCACGCAGCAGGTGCTGGCTGCCGAGCGACGCTGCCCGCAAGAAGCCCCGACTTGAGCGACAAGAAGCCTTCCGAGTGCCCGAGATGGTGTACATATCCGACGTGGTCGAAAACGACGCCGAGCTGTACCGCTTGGGGCTCCTGTACGATGACGACCATGTGCGAGGTTCCGGCTTCAGCCTCAACACAATCGTCCATTCCAATCCCGTCTATCCCATTCGCCCGGCTAAGCGTGCACAAAGAGGTATCAACACTCAGTATCTCGACGGCTGGGGCGAATGCGACGAGGATGGTCCTTTGATACTTGGTCAACTCTTGACATCCACTTTGGATGTCCCATCAACGCCAGAACAAGAACAACCAAACATGTCTTATCCAACTCCGGCATCAACTCCAAGACATAATGGCGATTTTGTGGGCAACAGGTCGGAGTCTGAAACGCATACAGAGGGCAGACAATCCGAACTAGAGGAGGATTTCATTTGTGATTGGGACATGCTTCCACGGTTACAACGGGAGTATTCGAACACGAGCACTGTCGTCGAAAGTATTGAAATCGACGCAGGGGTGGCACTCGAGACTTGGATAGTTCTGGGTGAGACTTGCAGCGAGTCTCATTAGGGCGCCTTCTTTCTCGACTATACATTGCATTCCTCAAGATGAAGGAACCGACCGATTCCTGCATTCCAGTCCCATGATATTGGGCTGGGGTACAAGGTCTTGTTTCAACAGTCGAGGGTGAGATGCGTTTAGAGGTTTGCGGGGATGGTCGTGATGCTCAAGGCCTTTCAGCCGGCTGAGCGAGCACATGTTGCTCTGAGTTGCATAATGGGTACCTAGAGGACCGACCCCGCACTATGTGCTGCATCCGATGGTGTTACTCTGAATCGATAGCATTTCCCTGGAGTATTGGTTTTTCGCTGATATCCATGGAAGCGTCTTTTGTTTCCTGGTTATTTTTTTTTCTGTATTTTTTTCTTTTTCGTGTTTTCTTTTTCATCATTTTCATATGGTATCTTGCTTCAGCGTCTTGTCTTGGAGCATCACGATATTTCTAGCGTTAGCACAAAGTCGTTTCTTCCTGACAACCAGACACACAAATGGTGTCTCGATCCGTAGTCTCAATCGTCCTCATCCGCGCCGGTGAGAGCCCGTAACATAATCAGCTGCAACTGCGTTTCCATTCATGGTGGGGTCTTTCGGCCCCCAAAACTGCCAGCTAAACCGTTTGGTCGCAGCCTAGCTAGGCCTCGGTCTTTTGGCTTTCGCCCGTTTCCGCCCGAGTTCAGACAGTAAAAAGTAGGGCTCCGTGGATGGAGAAAAAAAAAATCAGAGCCCAGCCATGATGGGCTTTGTGCAGTCAGATGTCGCAGATTGCAGACGAGTTGGTGATGGTACGGGCGTCCAGTCCCTCAGAGCGTTTGACCGCGGCCTGCCCCCGCTCGGCGTCGCAGGCCGGTCGGGGCTCTTGTCCATCATCATCTCTGTCGTCAACAGAATTGGCGGCGCCTTGACAGTCTCCTCTCTGGCCGTCTTCTTCCTGGTGAGTTCTGCCTTGTCAGGCGATCGGGATCGCGACCGCTTTCCAGTCGGTGCGTCAATCTCCATGGCCATGGATGAGGTGTTCATGTTTGCTCTGATGCCTGCAGAGTGGGGGGTGGGGGTGAGAAGTGAAAGTTGAGAAGAAAAAAAGAGTGATGTTGAAATCACAGAGTGAAATTCATGCGAAAAGAAGCAAACTGTTGAAGAGGGAACGGAAAAAAGAAAGAGGACGGCAGCGACGAAGACTGACGGACACAAACACGACAGTGAGAAGAAACTGTGGTGTAAGAAGGAATCGTCGTCAGCTCTCTTTCGAGGCGGGGGAAGAGGGGGATTATTATTTTTTGTGGTGGTGGCATAGTGGCATAGCTTCGCCGTTTCCGGATCTTGTCTTGTGGGGCTGAGCAAAGCTATCAGGTTTTGTCGTTGGTCTCAATTTGCTATCGCAACACAACTGCTACTTGTTTGCCTCGGCTTACTGTATATGACCGCATCGGCATATATTATCTACTTGTCATTATCTTCAGCATGTTAAATTGTCCACTACTTGCCTTTTCTTTGTTAAATCACACATACGGTCTGGCTGACTGCTGTCTACTTCGAGTATTCACCTACGTGCGAATTATTTATCCTCTTTCCAGTAACACCCATTTCAGCAGCTTTTGAGGGTGCCTTGACGGCGGCCTTGTTTCAATTTACCTCGATTTATTCTGCTCTACCAATGCAGGAACAGATCTAGATCATTTGCCAACATTAGATCCCTTTTCCAAACTTCTTGGGCACTTCTGGCAAATGAAAACCCCTTGAACCGTTGGACTTTAACCAATGCGCTTTTTTTGCGAGTCAGTCATTCAAGCAGTGTGTCATGATTAGGGCAAGCATATGCGAAAATGTTTCCCATGTTCCATGTTGATTAAGGGACAATAATAAGGCTAAAACCATAGATGCAATGTATGTCTCTATTTAGGAATCCCGTTTGCAGGTTTTAGTTTGTCATCTCCATCCTTCCTCCCGTCAGTTTTGCAATCTGCGCGATAGCATTCATGATACATCGTGCTCAAGTTGACAGATTTCACATGTCTGCGTTTCATATTATGCAATAACATGAGTCGACTCCAGACGCCAACTGAATCGCAAACATAATGATATATTACAAGTCTACACGTCCTACAAGGTTGCTAACCACTTGATACAGAGTGGCTACAAGAATGAGCGTGAAGCACAAACTATGCTGTCGGGATGAAGATGTCGAATATTTATCTATCTCTTAAACTTTAAGCCTTAATAACAATCTTTTGCTCGTAAAACTCATGATGTGCGGTCCGGCCTTCTGCGAAAGTCATGTCCGTGGAGCATTCATCATCTCCTTCACATTAGTTGGAAGCAATCCCGGATTATTTGCAAAATGCTTGTTATTCTTGAGCAGATGCTTTGCTCTTGTGTACTACTCATACTATATTCATCAATTCAAGTTCTAATAAACGAGTTGCATCCTCACAGCTTGGCATCATTCCCCAACCTGCCGAACGCTTTACTCCCTTGCATGAACAGGCGAGAACCGTGAGGTTTTCCACATGCTATATATTCTTGAAAAGGATGTATGAATATCTAAAAGGCGCCCCAACGCTACCTCTTTGGTATGATCATGCCCCTATTCATACGCAGAATGATATCCAAGGCCTGCACAGACCCCAAATTGACGCGATTGATAACACATTGCAAAGTCTCGGCACATTTTGAAACAAACGAAGTGGCGCATCACACGCTGCATGAAGCTGTATCATCCTACTGGACGCATGGGTGATTCAATGAGGCTGTGATTGCCATAGACGCCAGCTCTGATACATTCCATATCGGAGAAAGGGAAAATCAACTTGCTACGTTCACAACATAAAATTGAGACCGCCCCTCAGGAAGGAACCAGTAGATCATGCCGGAGTTTCTATTAATCAATCAAAGATATGGGGAGTGGTTTGGTCACGACAGAATTATGAAGAAGCGAGAAGCAAATTCAATTGAAGCGGTACGTGAACACAAGATCAAAGGTGAGTATTCTGTAGAGAAAAACACTGTGTCATGAGACATTTGTTTGGCAGTCATCGAAAATCTATCCAAGTGGCATCTTGAAACCAATATGCTTCCCTCGTATCTTATATATATATAAATGCGTGCTTCTTCGACGCAAGGCGGTATCTTTGGGTGGCATAAGTTCATGTAGCACTTGGCAGATATTTCTCTGATTTCTCTGCTCCTTGAATCAAGGTAAATAGAAGTAAGTTAAAGCTAAACTTTGAACTTGACAGTGGACACTATTGGGCAATAACGGTTGCATCGTGATAGAGTCAAAATACTAGTTAACAAGCTGCAATAATTGATTGCAAATATAGAGGCATATTCGTGTATCCTATAAAGATGATGTCGCGATATATTGCTTCATATCTGTCAATAAGAGGCCACGGATCTGGAGCACAGGTCAAGACCTTCCCTGGCCAAAACAGTGCAACTCAATCATTATTCATCAACGCCTTTATAGCTACCTGGGGGAAACAGGGCGATACTGGCACAGTCGACCTCAGGAAATATTCACATTTTTCAGCGCTATGAGAAGGAACATTATATCTCGTTTTAATCTAACTTTTCGGCTCTTCTGACTTGAGATAGGTTGCTCCCCAGGTGCTGTCTCAGTGGCCTAATGTGTATAACTAGGTTGAAATCTCGACCTGAACATGTTCTCATATTCAAATGTTTCATGCATCACGTTGCCCTTGTGAGTCGAAATCGGATTAAACATGATCGCCTGTCTCGATATACACTATTGTGCTTTCAAGAAGTACGTTCTACCTTTCTGACACCGAATGCTACATCCAGTATGGACCATGATGTAAGATCTATGCCAAGAATTACCACAATGATCTTCTGGTCCAGATCTCGCGGGGTTGGCGGACAGTCCACACACTGGTGGCAAGGTGATCGCTTCACTTAGACCAGCTTGATGTCATCCAAGAATACCCCAGATGTGATCGGCTCGACAGCTGCATACCGCTTCAAGGCGATCAAGCTGTAGTCTCAGTGATAATACCGCCAGTGCCTATCACGTAATTGCGGGCGTGGCGACTACTCTTCCGAATGAACCCGACTCTGCAACAATTTGATAATAAAACCGCCCCATTTATTATGATCATTACTACAGTACGTTGCAGAGAGGAGAAATTCGCCGTGCCTCAAGCCGAGTCTGGCGTCTGATCTCCGGGATCAACCATAATTGCGAGGGTCCAGTGTATATAGTGTGGGAGATATTGCAGATTGTTACACCGACCCCGAACCCAAAGACAAATGATAATGAATCTACAAAAAAAAAGTGGTTTCACTCACCGGAGAAACCCGCACTTTTCGTATTGTGGGCGGCCTTGATATTTTTTGTATTTGCGTCGAGTGTCCAGGTTCCCAAGCACGTGGCTCTGGGGGTCCAAAAATTAAGTAACAAGAACCATAATATTTCAACTCGGGATCAGCGCTGCACCCTTTGCATCAAATAGAATGGGGTGGGCTGGAGTCACTGGAGGGTCGAATCTGATAAACCCTCTCGCTCCTCTCTTTTGGACCTCGAGGTCCTCTTTTTGCGGTCATCTCCTCTTTCTCCTCAGGATATCGGCTACGACGGCCACCTCACGATGTATGTTGATGATCTATTCGCCTCAAACGAGCGATTGCATTGCAGATAATAGAGGACTATCTGTGCTTGCAGTATCTATCAACACGACCCCGCACGACAGGTCAAGTGAAGATGGAAACCAAAAACAGTGGTAGGGCCGGGTTTGATAGAAGAGTTTTCGGAAGCAAAGTTGGACCCAAGAGGGACGTGAAATGCGGGATCCGCGCTTCCACTTTACAGATTCTTTATCCACTACCTACCGTGTAGTACTCACCCAAACTTTCACGATAAACGAGTTACTTTGAAGACTGGGAGAAGATCTCTCTCCACTCCATACTGCATTCCCCCGTACTTTGATGGCCGGCATACTGCTTTATCTTCTGCACAATGACATGAAGCATCCCCCTCACAAGGCTCGATTTATGTTGTCAGTGTGGAGGTGGATCTGGAGCAGTTCCACGGTCGAGACCATGGTCAGTCCTTAGGGTCGAGGAGAAAGAGGTACAAACGAGACGGTTCATGTTACTTTCCCTATCTTTTCAGCAGATCATGGCAACACACAGGGTTACGTAAAAATCGGTGGATTCAGACACGCATCTCTGAATACCCAGAAAGCTACTTGTTGTGGCACTTTTTGATAATGTGAGTGAGGTGGGAACAAGCTACACTTGCATTGCCCGACATGGTCAATTCGTGGCTCGAGCACTGATAAGTTTATCCAGTTTGTCTCCGTTTCCGTTTTTTTGCGATAAAATGTTTCTCACATCGTATCGAGTCAGTAACATTCGTAGCGCGCACAGTAACAAATTTGTGAATACGGGAATTTGGTCAGACCGTTCATCTCTTGCGCCGCATCACGACCTCGTACTGCATGTTGATCATCCATAAGATGCATTGATCTGGATCCTCACGTAAGCTGCCTTTTTATTACAACATCCTACGCCCAGACATTTCAAACGGTGCGATGATGATGCGATGACACTACTGACCGTTCGTCAAAAGTGCCCGTCTATCGAGGTTCGGCGGCTCCAGAGTCAGTGCGAACCCCATACCGGCCCATTACTACTTACAACTAGGGATTAGGACGACATCATCCATCAGGGTGTTTGTATGTACCATTTCGGCATTTTCTCTCCCACTCTCACTAGATCGGGGCTAAAAATACACCGATTGTAGTTTTACACTTGGCGCTCGGAAGACTCTTTCCCGGACACACTAGAGCAATGCCGAAAGAACAATCATGAACTCAAACATGTCTCTTTCATGAACAAAAGCTCCGGCGGCGCTCAAATGCCACAAAGGAAATGCTTAATGAAGACGGTATAATGAGCAATCAATCGGTACCCGGGGCAGTTCGAGTACCCGGTACTTTCCGAATCGGGGCCTTTGTCGCTATGCAATTCGGGATGCCGTTCTGTCTGCTATTCCCCTTTCA